TACAATGGATTCCTGGTTACTGTGGCATTAAAGGCAATGAACTTGCTGACGCACTCGCTAAGAAGGGGACAATAATTTTGCAAGACATAGACCAGCCGATGTTGTTCCACACCATAAAGGCCTTAATCAGGAGGGAATACAAGACCTCAAGGTGCAACGAACTTAAAGTTCGAACAAAGGACAGTTGGCACTCTCCGATATAACCGACTGGCCAGGAATCGAAGCCGTTGCCGACTGGCCAAGAATCGAAGCCGTTGCTGAGTTTAACTTTGGCCAAGAATCGAAGCCGTTGCTGAGTTTAGACTACGTACCGGACGGATTGCCTGGCAAAACACCTTCAAAGATTGGGAGTATACAGTCAAGGTGCAACGAACTTAAAGCTCGAACAAAGGAGAAGGCAACGAAATTAAAGCTCGAACAAAGGAGAAACACAGTTGGCACTCTCCGATATAACCGACTGGCCAGGAATCGAAGCCGTTGCCGACTGGCCAAGAATCGAAGCCGTTGCTGAGTTTAACTTTGGCCAAGAATCGAAGCCGTTGCTGAGTTTAGACTACGTACCGGACGGATTGCCTGGCAAAACACCTTCAAAGATTGGGAGTATACAGTCAAGGTGCAACGAACTTAAAGCTCGAACAAAGGAGAACAGTTGGCACTCTCCGATATAACCGACTGGCCAGGAATCGAAGCCGTTGCCCTTTGACATAGTCGACTGGCCGAGAATCAAAGCTGTTGCTGAGTTTAGACTACGTACCGGACACGATTGCCTGGCAAAAACCTTCACAGATTGGGAGTATGCACTCAACCCACATGCCCCCTATGCAACCTACATTAGGAAATGGAGAAGACCCACCTGATTCGGTGTCCAGCTCAAAGACCACGACGGAAAGCCAGAGATACTGGGAAGCAAGAAGACGGCTAATGATCTGCTATTGATTAACTGCTATACATATACCCCCCCCCCCCCCCCNCCCCCCCCACCCATAGGGGAAGCTGAAGTCAAATTTTAAGGGCTAATGATAAATATCATAAAGCCTGCCATTTGAAAAAATATATTTCCAAATTTAACACCATTTTAGTATTCGCTTAAAAATTCTAAATTTATTGAATAAATTGTTTGCTGATTGATTTGTCTTAGCCAATTTGGAAATAATTAAAATATTTTCCCTCATCCTATGTTTTAATTAAACATATTCGTTTAAACACATTGACAATTGCTCATTGATTATTTTAGATTTTAGTCGCCAATTTAGATACCATTTAGTTTATATTTTTGGCACTTTTAAACTGGCTTTCATTTAAAAAATTGTTCAAATAAAAGTACTTTTGAGAGAATTTGCTGAAGCGATTCACTTCCACAAAATGCGACTACGCGGCATTGCAAACGCACAAGTCACTGGACTTGTCATAATGGTAGGGGAGACGTCGTTTAAAATTTCTCATTTATATTTTTTGGCGTAAAAGTTTCGTAATTTATATTTTCCAAAAGGAAAAAATGGATATTTTTATCACTCGGTGCCTCATAATTATAATCTCAAGTATAGAAATGAATATTCTTTATAAAAGTAGATATATATAAGATTCGCTTCTCCTAGTGGTCTTATAGTTATTATTACCTTTTTTCTCAATATATAAATACGCACTATGTAAGATAAATTTTACTTTTAAAATTTATTTTAATTTTTTTGGTTTCGTGTAACTTGTTAAATAAAGTGTCACTTTCTTCGACTAAAGTGACTATAGTATAAAACATGCTAAATAACCCAAATTAATAAAAGCGAAATAAATTTCATGCCAATAGGCAATAAAAATTTTTCAGTCTTCTATATAAAAGATTTAAAAATTATATACAAACAGTGGAGGCCTCCCATTAAAATGAAAATATATCTTTCATTATACATTTTAAAAGAAATGCTCCGTGATGCGAAACATTTTTTTCCTAAAAAAGAATCGCTTTTTAGCTCAAGAAATTTGAATGCAAACAGTTCGATTGCGTAATTTTTGTTTGATGGTAAAACGATGAATTCATATTATTATTATTTCGAATGGCAGGCTTTACGATATATTTTAAGTCATTCCAAATTGGTTAAGACAAGTCAATCAGCAAACAATTTATTCAAAAAATTTAGAATTTTTTTTAGCGAATACTAAAAATTGTGTTAAATTGGGAAATATATTTTTTCAAATGGCAGGCTTTATGATATTCATCATTAGCCTTTAAAATTTTACTTCAGCTTCCTCCATGGGTAGGGGGTACATATATAGCAGCTCATTAGCTGTATTCTTGCTTCTCAGTATCTCTGGGTTTCTGTCATTGTCTTTAGGACTGAACACCGAATCAGGTGGGTCTTCCCCATTTCCTAATGTAGGTTGCATAGGAGGCATGTGGGTTGAGTGTATACTCCCAATCTGTGAAGATGTTTTGCCAAGTAGTCGTGTCCGGTACGTAGTCTAAACTCAGCAACGGCTTCGATTCTTGGCCAGTCGGCTATGTCGGAGAGTGTCACTGTCCACTGTTTCTCTTTTGTTTTAGCTTTAAGTTCGTTGCACCTTGAGGTCTTGAATTCTCTCCTGATCAAGGTCTTCATTGAGTGGAAAGACATCGGCAGGTCTATGTCTTACAAAATTGTTGTCCTCTTCTTAGCAAGTATATCAGCAAGCTCATTGCCTATAATGTTAAAGTGACCAGGAATCCATTGTAAAACCACTGTTTTGTTTTCCTCTCTCAGCAGCTGATAGAGGTTTTTACATTCATATATCTCAGCTGTTTTGGGTGGCTCTCTGTTTCCAATTGTATTATCTCAGCTGTTTTGGGTGGCTCTCTGTTTCAAATTGAGGTCTATTATGACTGTGAGTCCGAAAGTATCACCGCTTTGGTGTTTCCTGACTGTGAGTCCGAAAGTATCACCGCTTTGGTAAACCTGACTGTGAGTCCCAAAGTATCACCGCTTTGGTGAATTTAGCTTTTGGGTGTCTCTCTGTTTCCAATAGAGTCTATTGCTAAAGGGTTTACTGCTTTGGTGAATTTCGTATCCGGGCAACATAATTGTCTTAATTTATTCTAATGGCCTCTACTTCTCCTTCGAAATCGGATCTAATGTGTTCCGTGGCTGCGTAGAAAGAGAAGAGTTCAGAGTAAACACCTGCACCAACGTTTGCTTAGTTTTCTATATATGAGCCATCAGTTAAGACTTGAAGCCATTGATCTGCAAGATAGTTGAGATTGATTGTCTCAAGGACCATGGAGAACATTTGTTCTGGAAGGGTGTTTGCTTTCCTGAAGAAGGATTCATGGGTAGATGGAGAAGTTTTGGTTTGTCATCGATTTGTAATGCTTTCTTCAGTTCTATGACTTTCTGCATTTTGCCAGATTGTGTTTTCAGATGTCTTGGTCTATTTTTGTGGGAGCAGAAGAATTTATCCTTGGGAATGCGCAATAGCTTCTCATACAGAATCAAGGTGTTCTCTTTGATAAGGGGACATATTGTGGTGTTCCCTGTGAACAGGAGCATTGCATCAATGGGTAGTATCCAGTAATTAGTCGTAATGCTTGGTTGTTTGCCTTCTCGAGTGGTATAAGAGTCACCTCTGTGGCTGTAATGAGTGGCTCACAGCAAACGGCTGAACAAACATCTTGTAAGTGGTGTTGAGAGTTGAGCGTGCACAGGGCCCCATTGGCTACCAGCAAGACGCTTAAGTACATTCAGTCTATTGGAGAGCTCCAACTGCGCTTCAGTACATAGTCTATTAGCGACTCATTCTGCTATTTTAGCAATGTGACTTTTCCACGTTATGCTACCAGCAAGACACTTCAGTACATTCAGTCTATTGGAGCTACCAGCAAGATGCTTCAGTACATTCAGTCTATTGGAGACGCCTTCTGCTACTTTAGCAATGTCACTTTTTTATGTTAGCTTTGTGTCAAACATCGTTCCGAGATATGTGAACTCATTGTTTTTTTAGGGAAGTATCCTTGTATCTTAAATGCGGGTTTATGCTGTGACGAGACAAAGAAAATGTTTGGAATGCACCAGTTTGCTAATAGTTTAAGTACATAATTTAGGGCACAAGATCATCTGCATAAAGTAAGCACATGATGCCCGTGACCGTCTGTACCAATTCGGCTATGTCGTTGATGAAGACATTGAAAAGAGTGCAGCTTGTGACAGCTACCTGTGGAAGGCCTCTTTGTAAAAGACTGAATTTCGATAGAGCGTTTCCATATCTGACTTTACATGATCTTTGTCCAATGAATGATTTCATTCAATTTAGCATTTTATACTTTATACCAATCTTCGCCTATTTTAGAATTGGCTTCTCTTTCCATACTAAGTCATATGCTGATTTGAAATCGATGAATACAGCCGTAAGGGTATTTCTTGCATCAAGGGCATCTTTGATGTGTTGGAAGAAAGTGGCTACCTGTTGGTTAGTTGACCTTTGCGGCCTAAAACCTGGTTGTTCATTCCTAAGAATATTGTTGGCTTCAAGGAACCAGGTCAGCCTCCTTTTAACCATTCCTTCCATAAGTTTAGCCATCACGTTTGTGAGGGAGATAGACCTATATTCGTCAAATTGGTTAGGATCTTTGTCCTTTTTAGTACTGGTATTAATAGGGCAATCTTCCATTGGTTAGGTACGAGACTGGTCTCCCAGATTTTGTTGAAAAGCGTCAGCATGGTTTCCTTGGCTTTTGACCTCATTCTAATTAGAAATTCCGGATGAATACGGTCTTCAACAGGAGAATTTTTTGCGCTTTAGCTGTTTTATTGCAGCATTAAGTTCGCAAGGTCTGAATGGTTAAGTAAGTACAATATTTGGCATTGTTGTGTCTTCTTTAATTTCACCAAAATGTCTTACTTGTAACTTTTTATCTCTTGAATATTTTCTGGCAAAAGGGTTTTTCTTTTGCTTGTGGGAATACACTGACAAAAGGGTTTTTCTTTTGCTTGTGGGAATAGAACCTAATGTAGTTAGCTATTTCGGTGTCGGCGGTAAGCAATTTGTAGACTGTTTCGTTGTCGGTGGTAAGCAATTTGCTGTTTAAGCGCTTTGGAGTCGGTGGTAAGCAATTTGCTGTTTAAGCATATTTGGAGTCGGTGGTGAGCAGTTTGTTGTTTAAACGCATTGGTTCTTTCTTGGGTCCTTACCTGTTGTTTTGGAGGTTGCCCAGTAATTTGAAAGTGCGTTGGCTATCACTTTGGTAGTTAGTATTTGAGATGAAGATGTCAAATGAAGTACCTTTAGCTTGTAAGATGGCTTGCCTTAGGACAGCTGACTGCTGTCTCCAGGCTTGTACGTCTACCATTCTTCCAGTCTGATTAGCAGTGTTGCGAAGGTCGTCTCGCTTTCTTTTCAGTTCCTCAAGGTGTTCATACCAAAACACTCGATAGTGTTTAGTCTTGCCATTGAGATCATAATAATCGTAATTTCGTTTCAAAGTTTTCCAGGATGTTGTTTGAAGTTGAGGGGACTTGTGTGAAGTTCATTCTTTAAAATGTTTGTGAATCTAGACTAGTCGACTTACTTGAAGTTCCATGAGAGCTTAGTTAGCACTTTCGTTGTCATGCTTTTGCTGCCGA